TACAACACATAACATACATAACATACAAATACTCTGTCACATAACTCCGGTTACCTACTCAAGGTAAAGTATAGTGAGAAGACTCACCTCGCGTGTCTCGGTAAGTCGTAAATCCATGAATCACTAGTGCTCGATCTCCCGAGCTATAGTCCTCCTATAACACAATACATCTCTAATTAACACTTTCCCAACTAAGGTTGACAATCCCTTAACAAGTCAACATAGGTCAACACTGGTCAATGGTTAATGGTCAACTTTGACCGGAATCGGCAAGTGCACTATAACGACTCGGCGAGTCTTAAGTGCATACACTGATTTCCCTGGGATCCTCACTTGACACGTCGAGTATTCTCCTAACTCGACGAGTTCCACCTGGCGTGAGTTGTGGGGCCTCCACGACTCAACTCGCCGAGTCTCAAGAACAACTCGGCGAGTCCAGCTTGACTCAATCCACCTGTCAACCCACTCCGACTCTCCCTGACTCACTGAGTCAAACCCTCAACTCGGCAAGACCACTCGTTGTGTGGTCTCAGCAATATTCATGCTACTCGCCGAGTCTGTTCTTCGGACTCGACGAGTCCATGCCATGCAATGACTCAAACTTGCTCATAAGGTCAGATCCGGTCCATTAACTCATAGATCCAGTCCTTCCAAGCTTATTTAGCACGTAAAGTCACTATCTTGATGTACATACAACATTTATATGACCATATATGATGATTTTGTCCCAAATACCACAACTCAAGATCATAATCTCCATTGCTCTTAATAAATCTTGATGAGTGAGGCTCTCTGGAACTCTATGGATCTAGATCCAAAGCCTCAACGTTAGAAAGGAACTATTTGGCATCAAATCAACCCAATAAAGGCTATAAGAAACCCTAAATCCAATTATACTTCACAAAACAGAAGATGAGCCGAAATCATACCTCTAGTTCGATGATATAAGCTTTAAATCCATAGTATAGCAACCTCCTTTGCTTCCTCTTGGCTAGAACCTCCTTCTTCTTTGCCAAAAAAACACACAAAGGTCAAGAAATGCTTCCTCTCTCTCTCTCAAAACGTTCAAGCACTCTAGGGTTTCTCTCTATGGACTGGTGAGCACAAATGACGGCCATAAGGCCCTTTAAATAGGTCTCAAACCCCGGGAATTAGGGATTCCTCACACAGCGTGGACTCGCCGAGTCCACTCTTGGACTCGCCGAGTCCGGACGCGAACCCGTGCCCAAAACCGCGATCCTACTCGGCGAGTTTGAGCTCCAAGTTGCCGAGTCCACTCACAATTCTCCAAAAATAAACCAATTAATAAATACCTGGAAATTCCGGGCTGTTACAGCTTATGTATTCCTCTAGCGACAAATTTGCTATATCTTTGGCCATCTCTTCTTCTTCTACTTCTGCAGTTTTTTCTTTTTTGTGCTCCTTTCTTAATTTGTGAAATTTGCGCTCTGCGACTTCAAAAGGAGGAGTTCAATCTAAATATGAATTTATGGTTACAAGCCAACTTCAAAAACAAAATATAAAAGCAATAGAATAGAACAAAATGCAAATAAAATTTAGAATTTATTTTAATCAGAAATACCTCGAGTGAACGGGACACATAATACAATAACAGAATTTAAGTAAAAAAAATTAACTTTTTGTAGGCGAAAAAGGATCATTCAACTGTAAGCAAATACTCTAAATAAAATCAAATTGTTCCCCGACAAGTCTCCAAAAACTTGAAATGTATTAAATTAGTCTTCAATTTATAAAAAGTTTACTAATGTCTAGGGATAATTAGACAATGTAGGAAGGTATACCTAATTGTAGTACATCAATGGCAAAACCAGATTCTTAAAAACTATAGGAACGATTTTATTTAATTCATAAATCTAATTACCGGTTAAATTAAGAGATAATAATTTAAATGAGATGTTTTATTTCTAAATAACTGAACTAAAAAATATAAATAACTAAATGAAACTAGATATTTGATTGAAAACAATATATTTAAAGTAGTTTCACTTTGATTTGATTACCTACCTCTTTTATGGCTGATTTCTCAAAAGCTCAATGGATTTATTTTGATGTTTACTGATTCAGAGGTTGATTAGTTATCTTGGTTTGATAAACTAACCCTAATATATATAAGGACAATTTAACATACTACTCATGTAATTAATTATCCAAACAATTAGTATTTGGTTCGTATACAAGAATTGATCATTTATTAAATAATATCAATGTTCATGAAGATCCATTGAATACATTGAAGATTCGTGAGATGTAATCTTATGCATTAAAGTTACTAATTTATTGCTTAACCCTAGGACATGGTACACAACTATTCATAATAGTTTAATGATCATAAAACATATATTATTGAAGTCAACATAGTCAGATTGGTCATCTAGATTATACAAAAGTCAACAATAAGTGATAAATATCAAAACTTCAATACATAAGTATTTACCATCAAAAAATCACAATAAATCAGATAGATTATAAATACTAATATAATAATAAAACCATAAATTAAGGATTTCGTCTACATCTAAGCAAAAGTATATGTGTTTAGCTCATTGTCAAAACTAGAAACCAAAAATAATTCATAACGGCATTGCTAAACATTGTAAATAAAGCAAACCAAATGATTCCTAGGTGATTCCAATCTATGATCTTGAAAATATTGCTCCAATGGTTCCTAAGTGATCTCCAGCTTCCAAAAGACTGTAATCTTAAAAATTAATCTTTGACTTGTGGGACAAGATTGCATACCATAAAGATCATCAGGGATACTCTATTTAAAATTTCCAAAACCGACTTATCACACGTAAAATGAGATTGGAACACGCTTTACATTCTCTCATCCATTTACACAAAGTCTGGATTCTTCATTCTATGCGTCGAGGGATATCGGATTCATGTATCGCATTTGACACATATTAGTAATATGATAGAAAGCTTCATGCTCCATGTGTTGCATATATTAAGTTCACACATCACGTCTATATCTTTTGCTCCTTGCGTTCTAGCTCTAATTCTGAGGCCTCTTTCAATACAGAAGTGTCTTTTAGCTACAAAACAATAAACCAATCATAATTAACACATTTGTACTTTTTGGATTTTTTTTATGTGTTTTCAAGGACTTTAGTATACTAATGGCTTAGATGGTTGCAAAAGGGTTGTTTGGTGGTGTTGGTACCGGAGAAAAAAATATTCTAAAAAATATTTCATAAGTCCTTACATATCTTTTGGTTCTCAAAAGAACTCTCTCACACACAAATACATGTATGTGTGTATATATATATATATATATATATATATATATATATATATAGAGAGAGAGAGAGAGAGAGAGAGAGAGAAAGAGAGAGAGAAGAAAGAAAGAAAAAAAAATCAATAGAGAACCATTATTCGTCAAGAAACCAAGAAATCGATTTAAAGTGTCGGAATATAAAATGATTGATAACCAAAGGAAGATTCATAGATTTATACATTGGACACATACATCAGATTATACCCAAAAAACTCATATCATTTTTTTTTTTTTTTTTGAAAAGTTAAGGGTTATTTTTATCAAAAAAAAGATAAATATATCAAAAATCATAATTTTGGTACTCTTTGTATAAACACACACACACACACACACACACACACACACACATATATATATATATATATATATATATATATATATATATATATATATATATATATATATAGGAAAAAGTGAATATGTGGCTATCATGTATTTAATATTAGGTATAGAACCATCAAAATTGACTTCATTTTTATTAAAAAACACAATTTTTTTTCATTGTAAGCTTCTTCCTATTGATTTTTAGCTTATATTATTTCTAATTTAATAATTTATCCCGAACATCTATTTATTTCGAATGTCTTGTTTATATTACACCTCTAGTAGGCTTCATAACTTTCTTTGACACCTATCATATGTACATTTGCATGGTTCTTTTAGATGTGTTATGGGAAGAAGTTTATTGGGTTTTTAATGAAGAATCTCAATCTTTCACTATAGTTTTCTATATTAAATTTGAATATGAAGGCTTATAGGTAGTGGATAATGTATTCTTATACATAGTTTGTGGTGCAAAATTAAATATTTGAAATTCCATAAAAATATGTACAAATCGTATCATTTAGTTTCATAGAGGATACAAGAAAGATGATAGAGAGATTTGATTGCATTTAGTTAAAACTATTTATTTTTCTGATGGTTCTATATCTAATATTAGGTACATAACAGTCACATATTCCCTAAGCTTATATATATATATATATATATATATATATATATATATATATATATATATATATATATATATATCCCTTTCTAATAAATAAATAGATTGCATATAAAACTGTCATGTGTCAAAGTGTATACATGCCACATGTCACCATAATAAATTCAACAATTCGTTTACATTCATTCAATTCAAAATTCAAATTCAAAATTTCTAATTTCTAAATTCAAAATATACATTTACATTCATTCAATATTCAAAATTAAAAATACAATATAACCTATAATCTATAACCGAGTATAATATCACTTACTCCAAAAAATCAGTTCCTAAATTTTAGTAAATCAATTTTAATTTTACAAATTTACATGCATACAACTATATATAATATAGATACAGGTACATATATATCATATCCCTAAAAATCAGTTATTGATATTCTAATTTCCCTCTTTTAAACCCCTTTAATTCCAATATTCACTACCACATATACGATTTACCTTATTTTCCCGCTCATTATTTGCTGTAAGTCTTGAAATTATCTAATCAATTCCAAGAAATCAGCAAATCAGTTTTAATACTCCAGAATCTCACCTGCATTCAAAAACATTCGGTTTATACTTATACATATATATATATAAAGAAATATATAAAGAATATAAATATAAATAACTCATATTCCTGAAAATCAGCAAATAATTCATGATTACTTTATATTTATACCTATAAATACCAGCAAAATATCGATTGATGGTCATTGTCTTCTTTATTGTTGTCTTCAAAACGTTTTCAGGGGCTAATTCTCTTCCACATCTCTGCATCTACATGGTTGCTGGTGATTTTACTCTCATACGAGATCTCGATGTCTTGAAGGGCAGCTTCACAATGAAGCTTCGTGTTATCAGACTATGGACACTTGACAATTACTACAACAAAAATGAACTTTTCTCTATTGAACTTATTCTAATGGACGAAGAGGTATATTTCATATTTTTTTTTGTTATTTATATATTTACTGTTTATAGTAATCTTTATTTTTTTTATTAATCGTATTTTCACCACCCTTTTTCTTCACACTTTTTCTTCATTCAGGGTAACAAAATCCAAGGTTATGTCCCTAAAGCTTACATTTACAAGTTCAAAAAACTTCTAAAAGAAGGTGAAGCTTTTATCATCAAATCTCCAAATTTAGCAAAGATGCAGGAAAGAAGCTTTCAACTTACCAATCAACTACAAAAGCTTGCTTTGAATCTGGACAGTATTGATGGCACTGTTCCAGATAATATGTCATTGGGTTAGTATTTTCTATTTAATAATTTTTATATTATCTGTCAAACATGCACATATAAGACATTAACAATTAACAACTAACAATTACATATCGTTTTTATAATGACAGACCAAGACTAATTCAATATTAAAAACTGACATATTTAACTTTATTTCAATATTGCATACCAATTAATCACCAGTAAGAATGTGTCACCTATCACCTTTTTTTCACATGTCTAAATATGCCCTGGTATGGCTTCTCCAAAACCATATCATTAATTTTTACTGCAATAAATATTCTAATTTACCTCTCTATTTACGTATTTTAAATAAAAATATTATATTCTAACCTTCAAATAAATACTAATTTTATATGTTTATTGATATTTATGTTTATATACAGATGTTATCGGATTGGTAGTAGTAGTTGGTGAAATGGATGCTCGAAATGCAGATCGAAAAAGGCATAGGATTAGAATACAAATCCAAGATGCCAAGTATGTTTTTTTATAACCTACAACTATGTTGTGTATTAACTCTTAAATTGAATAACATTTTTTTAAATGTAATTTCCGTCTTTTTTGTTAGTGGTTTGCAATTGGATGTTAACCTATGGGGCGATTATGGTTACACATTCTTACATTATATCCAAAAGAATCCAAACAATGTCCGCATCGTCATAATCCTTCAATTTGCAAAGATTAGTGTTTGGCAAGGTATAAATTTTTTTTTTATATTTTATATTCTAATTACTCTTAATTATTTATTACTCATTCGGTTTATATACTTTTTTTATAGATCGTCGATCCGTCAATACGTACTATGATGTATCGAAGTTCATCATCAATAGTGACATTGATGACATAAATGTTTTCAAAAAAGGTATAAAACGTTTTACTATGTTTATTTTTAATAATAAATGACATTATATCTTATAATTTCTAAATATGATGTTAATTAACAGTTTGGATCAAGACGGTCCCCATGAAAACTCAAAGAGTACGTTCACCTATATGAAATCTAATCGAAGTTCTGAAAATGATGATTTCCTGCTTAATAATGATCTGAAAACAATTGCTGACATTTTTGAGCCAGTTGAGGTAACACAAAATCTGAAAGATATTTATGGAATTATTGCATTTCGTTATTTATTTTTCAATACAACTTACATTCCATTTCTATCGTTTTATTCACCCAGGAAAAAAATATGTTATTGTTGCGACAATTAAAGGAATTCTTCAAAATAAAGATTGGTATTACCCAACATGTACAAACTGCAATACCAGGACATTTTCAGACACGCCTTCTAATGAAGCCAATGTCATCGGATCATTTCAACACGCAAAATATGAATGTCGAAATCCAAAATGCACAAAAACTTTAACATCAGTTATTCCAAGGTTATTGTTGTTTGATATACTCATTTTCAGTAAAATATAGTTTTACATCTTATGTTTACTAATTTTGATGATTTTACAATTCCCATAGGTTCATGATTCCGGTGCGTGTTCAAGATCATACTGGAAGTATGACTCTAACAATGTTTGAACAAGATGCGAAGAAGCTTCTTAAAATTTCTGCAAAAGATTTAATTGCAAGGACAGCTCGGGTTAATTTTTTTTTACATATATTCCTATTTTTTATTGTATTTATATATAATTTCCTCTGTTTATGTTTTATTTGCAGCTTGGTTTTGGTACTGCCTTATACCCCTCTGAAATTAATGTCTTGAAAGATATGAAATTAGCTTTCATAGTTTCTATTTCAAAATACAATCTTGAAAGGAATAACAATCAATATAGTATTTTGAGGAGTAGTGATGATGACAAGTTGATACAACAGTTGGAAAAAAACTTTGTCGTTTCAGAGGTGATTATACTTCAATTTATTCTGATTGTATACAATACTTAATAAAAATTGTGGTGATCTTCTTATATGTTTTATACAGGGATGTAATTCACAATCGTTTGATGTTGGTACCACTGATTATGAATCTCAAGATAACAAGAGTATAAAGGTGTTGTACAATTTATCTAAACTTCTAATTTTTTTTATCTTACACCTTCTTACCCTTTTAATAATAATATTTATTTCTTAAATTAGGATGCCATATCTCAGACTGATGATAATGTTACACCGACCAATGTTTTCAAATCGACAGCCACAAGTCCAAAAAAGAATTTTGACACATCAAAGGGTTTGAAGCGAGCTCTTGAGGACGTATTTGTTTTGGATGTGAATGACAAGATGTCGTCATCAAAGGCTACAAAAGTTGGAGTGGAAGATGGACAGGTGAAATTTTTGAAGGTGAAGTTGGAAAAGTGATTGATTTTGATTGTGAGAAGAATAATTGATTTTTTTAAGTCTGTTGTTGCGGGTATTAAGACATTTTCTGATTTTCCTTTAAAATTCCATGAATTTGGTTGTTTTTTGTTTAAATTGTTTGTTTCTAAACAGCTTTTCGGATGGATTTATGTTATGTGGATGAATTTGATGGTTTTTGTTTTATATTGTTTGTTTCTTAAACTAATTTTCATTTATGATGGAATGGAATCATAATGAATGGAATGGACAAGGGAATGGATCATTACATTCCTTTACATACCAAATTAATTTCAAACCAATCCATTCCATTCCTCTTTATAATACCATACTTTGGATTTATGTTATGTGGATGAATTTGATGGTTTTTGTTTTAAATTGTTTGTTTCTTAAACTAATTTTCATTTCTGATGGAATGGAATCATAAATGAATGGAATGGACAAAGTAATGGATCATTACATTCCTTTATATACCAAATTAATTTCAATCCAGACCATTCCATTCGTGTTTGTAATTCCATTATATCATACTAACTCATGACTTATACAAATGAATGCTTTCAAACAAAAAAGTATAAAAATTGAAGTATTTTTACCTGTATTTGATTATCTATAATCAATCCCCCTACTTTTTCTGTACTCCAACTATAATGGTTTTGAAAGGATTTTCCATCTGAATGATGGATTTAATTACGTAGTTGAGTATACACCATCTCCACTACTCCTTGCAAATGAATGTCCACTAAAATGTTTGCTTTAACATTCCCAAAGTTCTCCAAACAAGAAGCAGAATGACTGTAACAATAAATATCAATTCAAGATTAAAACTTCTTAGATTACAATTACATTCTAAATATAAAATCAATTAAAATTAAAATATTCATGTTAATGAGAAATACGAAATCAAATATATATTACAAGGCTATATATCTTTATATTTTGGACAAACAAATATTAACACATGAACTTACACCGTAATTAATACAAATGATTTTGTGTTGTATAAATTTTCAATAAGTAAAGTAGCCAATCATTCCAGTAGCATGTGTTCTTCTGCATTTATTTTTATTCTACAATACAACATATTAGCAAACTATCCTATAAATACATGAGATATTTCTGAAAACACAAAAACTTAAACCATGCAGAATTATGTTATGTTGTTGACAAAACTGATAAACATTACCCACCATACAATCGTATATCATTTCTATCTCAACATAATCCATGTCATTATAATTTTTTACTGAAAATTAATAACTTTGACATTTTTTCATAAACATAAAACTCATACATTTATTATTTTAAATGAGAATACAAATACACTAACAACAAATATTATATGATTAATGTTAAAATTATATCTCATTAAGATTAAAATTAAAGTGAACATGAATTTATCAAAATACATTTTCTCGCCTGTTTCTTCTTCCCACTGATAAAAGAGGAAACATTGATCAATTATGGTATAAAAAGAAATCAGTGATTTCATTAACAAAAGCTATAGGAAATCAGTTACAAGATAAAGTCGTGATTGAATTGACAGAAAGGAAATCATCACTTTTATAAAATTTTTAAATACCCTACATATTAACACATAAATCGATTTTAATACCTTTTTTTTTAAAATTATCTTATTAGATTTTTTATTTTATTTGAAGCTGTTTCAAATCAATTTGTTTCAATCAAATCTCATTTTCAGGCTTCAATTTAGCTAACCATATATAGAAATCAGTTACTTATCTTTTTTCCTTTATGGTTAATCACGTCTGACTTTTCCATCCATTATTTGCCTTCAAGTTTACGAAAAATCCATCCTGTGAGGAGCGTCTTTATTTCATTGCTAAGTTCTTGATTTGGGTATCATCTACAAGAGTATAACACCCTGCAATTTAATCATGTAAGTTTTTGTTTAATTTTTCTGTCATATTAATGAAAATTGCACAATTGAATACACATATAACTTTCTATCTGAAACTATACATTTAATAGAATGACTGAATATGTAACTTTGAACGTTGTCCTACCTCGAACTGATACACTCCCATAATGGTAAGAGCAGCAACTGGGTCTTCAACAGATAAACCCTAACTTCTTCATCCTTCTTGATGACCATCGGAACTTAAATTAATATCCTCCTTCTGTCTGCAATTTGTAATTCATTTCGAAATTTCTCCCCCAAATCATCACCCGTCACCCGATTAAGATGAATCCATTGATGGATATCAACATGCACGTCTGTTGAATGGAGTTTATGGATTATTCGTAGCTTTCTTCGTGATTTATTGGGGATTATGTCGATGATTAAAGCTGTTGATCTGATGCATATATCGATTGAAGAATTTTGGTGGAGGTGGATGAGTTACGGTATGCGAGAGTTAGGGTTTAGACGAGATATTTGATTTAGGGATGGATAATGTAAAGACCTTTCGTTTGCAATTTTGACTGATATTTTGATCTATTGCCGGCGAACATGATACCCAATAAAAAAATATTGGGATAATATTTGTAAATAAATAAAAAAAAAGATATTAATATATTTTAATGTCGTGGAAAAATCCCTCCATATGACCCACAAAACTCAGATTCTTACTGTTGATGGACCATTTTTTCATCTATAATTTAAAACTACATTTAAAACCCTTGAATTTTCATATATTTAATAATAAAACACAATATATATTTTGTAAATAATGACTTATTAAATTTGGTTATATATTATTCTTGTGATTAACTTATGTCAAATTAATACATGTTAAAGTTGAGATGTTTTAAATATGTTTTCATTTTATAAAAAGTGGAATATGTAACATAACCTAAAAGATTATAAAAATATTAGTTTATTATATATATATATATATATATATATATATATATATATATATATATATATAATAATTTAGGATAAAAAAACAAAATATACAATTCATGGATATCTTAATAATTATTTTTTTAACCTAATTTTCATAAGCATAAGATTAAGCTTTATGTCTTTATAAATGGATTTACTTTTAAATTATTCCTCATATTTTATATTTGTTTTATAACATTTCAATTAATTGTAACAATATACATAACTAATTATTTCGCATACAATTTGTATTTTAAATACAAATTCTAATTTTATTTATTTTCTTTTTACAGATGATAGACTATAATATGGACTCTATTTCTGCTAAAGAACGAAGAAAGTTAAGAAAATTATATTTGGATAATAGAAGGATTAGAAGATTATTTAACATATCAGCCGATCGTACTTCATCTACCTCACAACCTTTTTACATTACCCAGAACGGTAATTATTTTCTATGTTAACTTTTTATTTTTTTGTAGAATTAATATGGCATGTGTTAAATAATATAAACATTTCATATCTATATAATTAACTTTAATATTAGTATTTTTTTTTTTTCGTTATTAAATGTATTTCAAATTATATGTACTTATTAATATACATGAAATCTTCTGTTACATTGCAATAATTACATGAATAACAAGTTATCTTTTTTTTTCCAGCTTCTTCTACCAATCATCATAAAAGTCGAACACTCTCATCAAATCACATACCATATTATACATTTTCAAATGCCATCAACTCAACCAATTCATCAACAATCATTCACAGTTATTCATCCAATCCGTTTTCTCCAGGAGTGCACAACTTAAAAGGAAATTCTGCAAATGTATCTCCTATACGTATATTTGACCTAACAATAGATGATGCTATTAATGCTCCCAATATTATTCAATCCACAGATGGAGGTATATCAAAACCCAATCATCATAAATACAAAGATAAGTTAGATACTTAAGTTATATGTCTTTATTGCTTAATATGTTTTTATTTTATGCATCCTATTTTATATATGTTTATCAACATATAAATCAATATTTAACATGTTGGATTTTTTTTTTTATAACTTAGGGTTATAGATAAAAATTTAATTAAACTTTGTTTCTATTTTTTAACTTGTAACCGTAATAAAATTTTAATTAAACTTTGTTTCTTTTATAGATTCCAAGAGAACAATTTAATTCCACTTTAGCTAAAGAGCAACGAAAACTAAGGAAGTTATATTTGGATAATAGAAAATTCAAAAATAAATCTACCTTATCAAACGGTCAAACTTCGTCTGCAACGCCATCTGTTAACACTAGCCAGAAAGGTAATTATTTTGTGGGCTTTCATTATTTTTATTATCCATATATATGTTTATTTACATTCCCCAATTGTGTTTAAGTTTCATTATTATTAATTAGTTTTATTATTAAACAAATTTGTAATTATATGTAGTTGATGTCTTCAATCGTCGTCAACATTTACACTCTTCAAAAAAGTTCACACATATTTCGTCTCAAAAGGAAAATGTTAGCTATGACAAGACTCCTCAACGTCATTCTACAAACTTCCAATCTCCTTCAACTCTGAATTTTAGGACTCCACTTTCCAATATCTCAAATGGTATGCATATTAACTACATTATACATTATCAATTATTTTACATTAAATTAACTACATGATTAACAACTTATTTTTCTTTTAGCTATTTGTAACAGTCAACATAATGGTCCAAAACCCTTATTAAATAATCGACGATATCCTACATCTTCTAATTCCAAGAACTCAAAAAGAAAGTTTGCACATATATCTCCTATACCTATATTTCACTTAACGACTGATGATGATATTAATGGTGGAGATATTATCCAACCAACACATGTTGGTATATCAAAAGGTAACAATCATAAACAACATTTTATATATTCTAAGTTGTTAATTATAATTTTTATTTATATTTACATTTTTTTTATAATGTTATATTTAACAGGTTATTTAGATCATGGTGATCAAAATGTTGTTTGTGAACTATGCCATGCTAAATTATGGAAAAACGAATCTTCAAGAGGCAATAAAACAGGGAATAAGATCTTTTCTCTCTGTTGTGGTTATGGGAAGGTAGAACTACCTCCTTTAAAAGAACCACCGCAAAGTTACAAACAAC